ATATTTATTATATAATCATAATAAAGAGAAATTCTTACGTGCGGTTTTTCTAACAATATAAAAAATTTAAAATTTTGTAGCAGCAACAAATTATACAAAATGACCATTAGCCACTGACAAGAGATTGATTTTTCGCGTTTGTTTTTAAAATTATTCATTATTTATATTATAACTTTAGTGTGTAGATATAAAATTCAATATAATTAGACAAAAAATTAATTAAATGTATTTATATCAAAAAAGTTTGATGATAAATAATGTAATTTTAATTAACGCGGTTATATGTGTGTGATTCATTATTATTTGTTATATATTTAAACTGATATGTACATCGAATTGTGAAATATTTTTATGAAAGAGATATATGTAAAGAGAAATGATACTCTCTTCTTGCATATACGATAATACAATAACAAATTCATAATTGCCGCCTAATTCACGAAAGTTCTTTCAAGATTATTAAAATTTTTTTCCGCTCGCGTAAATTTTCCAGGTATGCAAAAGTTACGATGTATTTTGCAACATTTAAAGTTTGCATTCTTATAATAATTTCATGAGTGTGTAGAAAATCTTTTTAAACCTCGATACAAAAATATCCAACTTTAAATTCGAGAAAACATTCGTACGTTAATTTTTAGGAAAACTTTCTTCTCCCGTTAAATTTCGGCGAAAAGAACTTTCTCGGGAAAGCCGCCATCCAAGGAGGGGCGGAGACCGGCCGCGATTAAAGACGAAACGAGGATGCGATGCAACGCGACGACGACGCAGGGCGGAAGTAGTAGTGAGAGAGATAGACGGCGACTCCGTGCACATGTTGCAAATGGCAGGCGGCGAGTGACATTTCCGTCAGTCCGTGTTTTTTCGTGTCGGTCCACGTAACCGATTCCTCCACCGTAAGGGATCGTCCCCGAGAGAATCCCTCCTCATCGCCCCCTGATTCGAGATCCTCCCCGTCATCCGCGGGGTACGTTGACCGGGTTCATCAACCGGTGGAAGAGGGCGGCGACGGCGCCAACGGCCGCGAGCGAGCACGCACCTTGGAAACGAGGGAGATTAAGTTCGTAGAACCCGGATCGGCGAGAGCACGTATACCTTACGGAAAGAGAGAGAGAGAGAGAGAGAGAGAGAAAGGATGGCGAAACTGGTAAACATTTGGCGGGACGATGAACCGGTGAAACTGGCGTGCAAGCAAATGCCGTTGATCATCGACGAGAGTTTGACGGTGAGCGTTTGACATCGCGTTTGACATCCTGCTTCCCCGACTCCTGGTGCGCCACAACGCCTTACGTAACGACGATCGCTTCCTCGCGGTATTCCCTTAACCTTAAAAAAAAAAGAAAAGAAAAAGAAAAACGCGAAAAAAAACACGTAAGATTCTCGAGAGATAAGAACATGACTGATCGCGATTTTGTAGCTCGTTTGTTATTCATTTCGATCGATCGACGATCGTATATTGTTGGAACCCCCTGCGATGTCATCTGTCGTCGCCGACTGCGACGAGGATGAAGCTAGTAGCAACGTGATTGTTCTCGCACTTGTGTCTTATTTTCTTTTCGTAGACGATTGTATGATCTTCTGATTTCTGTATTTTTTGCATAAGGCAAACGAGAAGATGTGTCATATCCCTGATAATAGTAGATTATTATCGTTATAATACTTTATAGCCTTTAAAAGATCACTGCATAGTATTCCACATTGTCGTTAAAACAAATGTGATTTATTACTTTATACTGCAAATTATATATATATATATTTATATATAAAGCTTTACTTGTGTTCTTTTAGATGATCATGGATATAAGTAATTTAGGAGCAGTCAGTGATAGTCCTTTAGTGCGTGGTAAACAACTGGATGAATTTACAAGAAAATTGGATATGCTCACAAAGGAAGAAATCAAAGCATCATTTGAAGTTACTTGCAAGGATATACTTGCCATTTTGGGCCAGGCAGAACCGTGTGTCGGTTGTCGAAGAAGGTGATTATTCTCTTTTGTTAAAATAATGTATCACTCTGCTCTTGTGTCAGTAAGTGACGATAAAATATTCTATGTTCAGTGTTGAAAGGTTGTTCTACGACTTGATGAAGTCAGGACATCCAGCGTTGGATCCATTGGTTATTACTCCCAATGGTCTGCTTTCTATAAAAGACGACGTTCTGGAATCACCTCAACGACTTTGCACGATATTGCACGGACACAGGTATTTCACCGACGATTGGGAAAACGATTATTTAAGAAAGGGAGAGAATCATTATCATTTATGTCTTTGCAGCGCTAGGTTACATAATTTAGTGGAGAAACAACCGAGAAATAGAAAATCCCGGCGATGCGTACTGCATTCTTTGGAAATTCAACATTTATATATAAAGCTTTACTTGTGTTCTTTTAGATGATCATGGATATAAGTAATTTAGGAGCAGTCAGTGATAGTCCTTTAGTGCGTGGTAAACAACTGGATGAATTTACAAGAAAATTGGATATGCTCACAAAGGAAGAAATCAAAGCATCATTTGAAGTTACTTGCAAGGATATACTTGCCATTTTGGGCCAGGCAGAACCGTGTGTCGGTTGTCGAAGAAGGTGATTATTCTCTTTTGTTAAAATAATGTATCACTCTGCTCTTGTGTCAGTAAGTGACGATAAAATATTCTATGTTCAGTGTTGAAAGGTTGTTCTACGACTTGATGAAGTCAGGACATCCAGCGTTGGATCCATTGGTTATTACTCCCAATGGTCTGCTTTCTATAAAAGACGACGTTCTGGAATCACCTCAACGACTTTGCACGATATTGCACGGACACAGGTATTTCACCGACGATTGGGAAAACGATTATTTAAGAAAGGGAGAGAATCATTATCATTTATGTCTTTGCAGCGCTAGGTTACATAATTTAGTGGAGAAACAACCGAGAAATAGAAAATCCCGGCGATGCGTACTGCATTCTTTGGAAATTCAACGAATGCGACCGCCACCGAACGCGTGGAGGGAAGTATGGGATTGCATGGAACTACCGTGTCAACAGGAGTTGACTTTAATCGAGACTGATACACTTGATGACACTTTGGAAACTTATCTACGTAAACATAGGTATAAATTTTATGTCTACCTCTTAAAACAACGTGAAACACGTTTTAATAACATAATCGCGATTTTTCAGGTTTTGCGCCGAGTGCCGTAACAAGGTATTATTGGCGTCATCTCTCCTGACACGAGAGCCCGAACCTACAAAAGAGAAAGGTTACGTAGCAGTTTTATACTCTGGAATTAAGCGTTGTATAGCTGATCATCATGTTCACTTGCCAACTATCACGGAATACATTAGTACCCTTATTGGTCGCGCGCAGCCAGAACTCATGGGAAGGTACTGATCTCTAGTAGTATGCATACTTTTGTGTAGTATTCTGAAAGAAATAAAGACACGTTGTATTTCAGGGAGCGCCATGCGAAAACGCTGGAGATTGCTCAAGAGGAAGTACTTACGTGTTTAGGTATATGTATCGCGGAACGATTGCATAGAGTCCATAGACGGCTGAAGGAAGAAGAGACTGTGTGTAAAGTACTAGCCGCGGTCGCAGTAGATGCATTATCCAGAAATTTCCAGGTAATGAGATCTTGTCTGTTATAAGATAATGTTAATAATGTTAGGGAAAAAGAAATCTTTCTATACTTATCATTACATATTTACATACAATTTGTCAGACTGTCAAACAAAGCTAAATATCTTGTCTTGTGTAGATGGCAGTCGAGGTGAAACAAGGTATCTCTCAATTAGAATTGTTATATGAAGAAATTACAAGGGAGGAAATAGCGAAACAGCAGAGGCGTGAAAAGTTGCGACTTAAACGTAAGAAAAAGAAGGAACGTCGTTATGAAACGGAAGAGAAGGAGAATTCCTGTGACGTATGTTGTAATATATATTTTTGCAAGATATATTTTAAAAACTATTTAAATAATTTTTTTCTATTAAGAAAATATATAACACATCCATAGAGAAATAAAATTAAAATTAAAAATTACTTGCATATATGTACAATATGTAAAAAGTTGTATATTTTGCCATAGTGTTCAAATGAAAGGCAAGGTAAATCCTCCTGTAGTTGTGCAGAATCAAAGCCGACGACGCAAAATATCGACCGACATAAGGTATACGAAACTTACATAGTAGTTTACATATTTTTTATATGCTTGTCCATGTAAAAAATAAATAGTAAGCAAACGCACATGTGCTTCTGTATACAAGTATGTTTTTTATTTCAGTTACAGGTATTAGATCCAAAAAACAAAGGGCCACCAACATGTAAATGTCCGGATTGTTTAAAAAAACAAAAAACGCCTAGTATATCACAATCGCAAAGTAAAGTAGAATTAGCATTCCCTGTGAAAAAGACGACAAGTGCACAAAAAGCTATTAAAAGCGGCACTTCCGAAGCAAAAACGAAATTTAGTACAAGTCAATCAAAGCAAAGTGACACATCTCTCAAACAATTACCTCAAGAGGATTCGTCCGATACTTGCGAATCGTGTAAGGTAAGATAACTATACTAGCTGTAAGTTTTTTATAATTTTACATTAAATTTAGTTTTCAAAAATAAAATATTTTGAATCCCTTTTTTTCCTCGTTTTAAGGAAGTTGAAAAAATTGACGAGGATCAATGGCATGCATATGACAAAGACTGTAAAGATTCTGTGACGACCAATAAAATGCTGCTAAATGCTTGGATAACGAAACCTAGTAAAGCTAGATATACTGTAGATAAAACTAGATATACTATGTGGATAGAAATGAAGAAACGTCTCGAAATGTCCCAAAAAAAAAGTCACTCCTCCAGCGAGCATTCGTCACAAGATTGCGGATATTCTTCTGGACACAATATAAGTAGTTCCTCTCTTCCTAGTACGCCGGAGGGCTCCGAAGTAGCCTGCAATGATGAATGTTGTAATCACGAGGGGGCTTGTCACGATAAACTTAATCATTCCAGTCCTAGTATCTCTTTATTACAAGAAGGAGGTTTGACGCTCTCGCAAATGCTAAAGGTAAAAATTTATACATATATAAACAATAATTTTTTCTTTGTAAAAATGCATTTAAATTCGGTACTTATGTATTGTTTTCAGGATTCCAATTTCTCTGATGATGACGAGAAGGAGAGTTATATTCCAGCGGAGGAAGTGTTAGAGTTCAAATCGCGAATGTGTCAACTTACAGAGAAGCGGCAGGAACTCCGACAAACGCTTAGAGAACGTTTTGCTATGTTATGCAACCATCAAAAACCACTTACCATTTTTCACTAAGAATTCCTCTGACAATATCTCTGACATTTTTCTTCTTTTTTACATTGATTTACTGCCAATAGAGCGGGAGACACAAATACAATAAATGTATTTTGAATAATTATTATTTGAAGTCAACTTTCTGATGTTAATTAATGCCGAAAATGTACACACACATACACACATATAAATCAAGAAGAGATAGAAACATAATATTACTTATCTCTGCAAGCAGAGAATTGCATATGATAAGTAAAAGATGTTAAGACGAAGAAGATGGTTTCAAATCATAGTCAAATAACATTGACTTTGAGAAAAATACAAAATATACAGTTCATAAGACTAGAAAATTGAATTTGATTGTATAGAGATCTGTACAATTGAAGTAAACGTAGATATTTTGTATGAATATGCCTTGGCTGTTGAGAATATGGCAGGTCCGATTCTGTTGCGTGCAGTAAATGCGAATTGTTATAGACACAAGTTCTCCAGGTGATTGCCGTATATTTAAAAAATATTGTATTTTCTTGAAAAATTTTTCATTTTCAAGAAGATCATATATTTATACGGCGATACGATTATTACTCGTGTCAGTGTTGTAATAATAGAGATGCGATGGAACATTTGTCGGAATCTTAATATAAAATGAATGTATTGCATTCCAATATAATATATATATACACATATATTTTATTATTCCGATGTACATCCTCTCTGTGTGTAACTTTCATTACACATTCATACATACACTGCAAAAACATTCTATAAAAAGAATTATTATCGTAAATCATATTTACATATATTGTATGTTGCATAAAAGTTATTAAAAATATTTAAACTGCTCAACACTGGTAATCAGTTGTGTAATCAGATTTAATTCGTCACTGAATTTGCTTCTCTTGTTTCAGGTATATACATATGTTACAAGAATAGTGTCCTTTCTGTATCAATTGAACAATGAGAAAGGAACTGTCTATGTCTCTTATGGATTTATTTTTCGTACTTACATACCTCAATTGACTGCGTTTAAAAAAATAGAAAAAATAGTGGATTCTGTCTCTCAGCATATTATAATTGTAATAGTTTTCAAACCTGTTCAATCGACATATTGAGCGAAGCACAAGCATGCATTTGTCCCACCGAAGCCAAAGGCATTTTTCAAAGCCGTTCGACGCGTCGTCGTCGTATTCCACTTCGCCTTCGTATGCGGTGCGAAGTTCAAACGAGTCTCCATATCCAGATTGTCTAGATTCAACGTGGGTGGTATCACGCCCTCCTTGATCGCCAAGATCGTGAAGGCAGCTTCCAGATTACCGGCGGCACCTAACAAGTGTCCGTGCGCACCCTTAGTGCTCGTCACCGTCACATTCTTACTGTGTTCCCCCATCAGCGACTCAATCGCCTTCACCTCGATCCCATCGCCCAACGGCGTAGACGTGGCGTGCGCGTTTACGTATGTTATTTCAGAGCTCTCGATGCCGGCGTCCTTCACCGTCCGATCCATCGCCAGTAACGCGCCGATGCCGCCCTCGCTGAGTGCCGTTATGTGAGACGCGTCGCCGGACAGACCGTAGCCCAGCACCTCCGCGTAGATGGGCACGCCCCGGGCGAGCGCGTGATTCAGCTCCTCCAGCACTAGTATCGCGGCGCCCTCGCCCATCACAAAACCGTCGCGGTCCCGGTCAAACGGTCGCGACGCTTCCTGGGGCGTATCGTTTCTCGACGTGCTCAGCGCACGTAGACGACAGAATGCGGCTATCGCCAACGGGCAGATGCACGCTTCCGCACCGCCGCATACCATCACGCTCGTTTCGCCACCGCGGATAAAGCGGAATGCGTCACCTGTGGAAAGTAATCATGATGAGTTAGAATAGGTGGAAACGAAATAAGATTTTTCGCTAATCAGAGAGTTACCGATAGCATGCGCTCCCGTCGCGCATGCAGTTGATACAGCATGATTCGGTCCACGAAAGCCATATTTAATACTGATCTGACCAGCTGCCATATTCGGCAATATTCTTGGCACAAAGTATGGACTGACCTTGCTGTATCCTTTCTTCAAAGCTTCATGTGTCATACACACATCTACTAGATCTATCATGCCCATTCCTACTGCAACTCCAGTGTCACGTTTATCATTCTCATCGTTTGGTGTCCATTTCGCATCCAAGAGTGCCTCTTCTGAAGCTATCAGTGCGTACGCAGTGCCAGAACACATTGTGCGTAATTCACTTTTTGTAAAGTGAGAATCAATGTTAAGTTCATGAGGAGCATCTCCTTTCGGTACTAATGCAGCTATAACATATAGATTAATTCAATAATATTCCACTTTCTCAATTTTATATGGATTAATTGTTATACGACTATTGTACAAAAAATAAAATATAGCTTTGAGTGATACTGATTATAACAGTACTTGGAGTTGATAAATTTTCTTTTTATATATTAATGGCATAGTCATAGAGAATAAATTTTACAGTATACATATTTGAAAGTAGTATCTTACATACTGCTCACCTATTTTACACGGTAACTTGTTGTAATCCGGTTCGGAAAGCTTCGTGATTCCGCATTTAGAATCGATGAGAGCTTCCCAAGCATTTCGCGTCCCGACTCCCAAAGGAGACACAATTCCTATCCCCGTCACAACAACACGTCGTTTGGTCCTCGCGACAGTTGTCAAGGACCGACTGATGTTTACGAGTGGTATAGACATTGCAAGTTCTCCAAAAATATTAACAGATGCTTTGTTTTCAATAATTATGAAAGTTGCATCGCTTCATCATAATCACGTAAAACATAAAAATGTTTATAAAAATGCATTGAACTTTTTTTTTTATTTTGTAAGAAGGTATTTAATGTGTCAATCAAGCATTAGTTATTTTTCGGTTTTTTTGACACTTCTACTTCTTCACTTGAGTATCGATAATCTTATATATTATCAGTATGTCGTCTCTGATTTCTGTTTCCTATTGTTATTTCATATTAAAAAAAAAAAAAGAAACAGCCTTTATTATATTATTTTGCCAATTTCTTTTAGCAAGGTCCAAACAGCTTTTAGAGGTTTCACACACTGGCCGCGTTCAGCAGAGAAAACCGCTTTGTAGCAATCGAATGTGATTGGTTCTTACTTTTAGAACCAACGAATCAACGTCAAGTGTTGACAAGACGATAACTGAGCGCTTTCTCTGCTGAACGCGGCCAATGGCCAATGTTCTTCGACCAGTACCACCTATTGTAGACCCGGTCTAATTCTAAAGGCTGAATGCTTACTACATCTATTGTAGACCCGGCCTTAAATACTACTTTACCCTACGGATAAAATTTCCGAACGCACCTTAGAAGCAAAAAGATCGGTGCATAAAATTACAGACTCTCTACTTTGTCGACAATAAAGATAGATTTTATATTTACATCAAAATCTTGTTGTTAATTTCTATAATTTAGGAGTAAAAGACATTTTTTAAATTAGAATTGTCGCTGCAGTTAATTTTTCATCATTAACACCCTTATACAATCATATGCTCTTTTAATTTCAGATAAAGAATACTCGAAATAAGAATTGATCAAAAGATTGGAAACACAAAAAGAAAATGATTTTACATATCATCAAGAATAATAATACTTACAACGACAAATATTATCAAGGAAGATAATACAATAAAATAATATACAGAGAATACGTTTAAAAACTTTATTTTGGTTCGCTTTTTGTAATTGGGAAAAATATATATATGTATATGTGTGTGTGTATATATATATATATATATATATATTTTTAATAGATGGATTTTATAGAAATTCTATA